AGAGTGTCACTGCTTACCCAGACTTGACACTTTGCTGGAAATATAGACTAAAAAACACTTTGTAACGGATAACCCTTAATGAGTTATTTATTAAAGGGACCATTCTAAGTTCTATCATATCAATGGCATGCAGTTTCATCACTGGAAAGTAGAAGAACCAAGATTTGAATCTAGGCATCAAGACCACATTCTCACCCGTGATGCTATGGCTGCCTCTCCAGAATTTATTACATAGATGATAAGCATTCTAACAGTTTGAAGATGATCAGAAATAGCACAACATAAAGACAAATGATCAAGAAGACATCTCAATCTATATTAACTTAGGAAAAATGAATCATGCTAAATTAAGAAAATCTATATTTTATATTAGTTCCTTAACTGATTATCTAATTACCTCTTTGAAAGGATTCTGTTGTGTTAATAAGTTAATCGATTTTAGTTTCATAGTAACAAGGTATTCCAAAAAATTCTCTATGTTGTTTTGATCAACTTCTTGTGAATTGAGCAGGTGTTTCCTGTGCCATGTCGATCAACTTTAGTGACATAAATTAATTACCAATTTTAGTCCATAGCTATCTATCTATTTCTCCTTCATTTTGAAATTTAGGTCAAGTTAATGATGACTTTGTTTCAGAATAGAAGTTGGAATTTGACTAAAAATTTTATCCCAAGAATGTGCAAAAAATAATCACAAAATAGAGACTACACAGAACTCGAATTCCATGTATTAAGTGGCTTAAACAGCGTTTTCTAAAAATAGATCTTAATAATCCTTTATAAACATTATTCCAAATCCATGCTAATAAGTATTAGCAAGAATATATCAAGACAATAAAAAGATAGGTATGGGGATACCTGTGCTTGGAACAATCTCTCTGAGGAGTGGCGTGTCCTCCCAGGCATACGTAAACGACAGCGGTGGGTAAGCGACTGCATTAACAAAGATCTTCACGTTGACCCGTCCAGCTGCTCCTGCTGGGGTGCGGCAGTAGACTTCACTGGCATTGACAGAAATAATCTGACAAGATTCATCCCCAACAGTGACAGTGGTGTTGCCTGGATAGAAGCCATTTCCTGTGATCGCCAAAGTAGTTCCACCACCAATGCTTCCAGAAGCCGGCGTGACAGATGCCACTGCGGGGCTGCTAACACTCAGGTTTCCCAGGGCCAGGCCCTTACTTCCCACCACAACACTAACAGGATGAAGTCCAGCCGGGAGAGGAGTCACAAGAACAGTGATGCTATTGTCAGTGACATCTACCGCTCTGAACTGTTGGTTTCCAATGAAAACAGCAATGTCCTCTAAGATAGTGCCAAAACCTTCTCCTTCAATAAGGGCTGTTACAGATCCCGTGAGAGAATTTGGGGAGATGCTTGTGATAAAAGCAGCGATGCTTTCTGAGTAGGAAAAGCTGCAGTTCCCCTGACACTGGGCAGGCACTCCATGGATTAGAAGCTGTACTGTCACAAGCTGGTGGGGAGCAGGAGATGTTGCACATTCAATGGTTGTATAATTCACTGATAGAACTTCACACGGAAAACGGCCCATACGGACCTCGACAGCTGCAGAAGAAACTGAGAATCCAGAGCCTTTTATGGTCACCTTTGTCATTCCTGTAGTTGATCCGGCCTTTGGCAACACCATATCGATGTTTGGCAAAAGTACAAATCGCCTATCAAATTCATTGGGCAGGGTGTTGATAGCAATGCCCAGGTTGTAGACAGTTAGAGTGACAATTTCCCTGATGCCAACATCCATTGAGTTTTGAGGGTCAATATGACATACAATGGAATTGGCACTACTTTCTTCTACAACACAGGGATAGCTACCAATTGTAACCTGAAAATAAAATGAATATGAAAATAGGTCAATACATTTCTCTAATACAAAGTTAAATTTTGTATTGCCAGCAACTTGATTTTTAAAAATTACTGAAGTGCACATTTTTATGCATAAAGTTGATTTGGGGGACTGATTAAGGCATATCTTGGATCAATCTTAAAACTAAATTATGATTGTCCATAAATGGCCACAGCTATGTTTTCATAATAGTCAAAAAGGTGAATACAATTCAAATGTCCATGAACTCATGAGAGGATAAATAAAATGTGTATGCCAGACAATAGAATATTATTCAGCCATAAAAAGAAAATGAAGTTCTGATACGTGGTATAACATGGATGAACCTTGCAAACGACATGCTTAGTGAATAAAGCTGGTCACAAATGACATACTGTATGATTCTATTTATAGGAAATGACCAGAATAGGAAATCCAGAGAAACAGAATTAGATTAGTGGTTGTTTAGGGCAGGGAGGTATTGAGGGGTTTGGAGTAATGTCTAAGGCAGGGGTGGGGAACGTTTAGATTAGTGGTTGTTTAGGGCAGGGAGGTATTGAGGGGTTTGGAGTAATGTCTAAGGCAGGGGTGGAGAACATCCCACATAAGGCCCACAACATCATTTGGTCTGGCCTTGACAAGGCATTAGGGGTGAGTTAATTAAATGTTTGACCAAATACATCACCCTAATTTTTAAGTTATGGCCCTTAAATGATGTTAAAAATATCCAAATGGCCCTTGGTAGAAGAAAGATTCCCCAACACTGGTAAAGGTTGTACGGTTCCTTTGGGGTAATAAAATGTTCTAATATCCAAGTGGCCCTTGGCAGAAGAAAGGTTCCCCACCGCTGGTAAAGGTTGTAGGGTTCCTTTGGGGTAATAAAATGTTCTATAACCCCGGTATTGTTCAGGCCACACAGGGGTTCTGTTGCTAGGCAGCCTGTCACAGAGCTTCCCACGTGCAAATTCACAGGTTCTCCTTTAGACAAAAGAACTGCCTGTAAGTCATGGATAATATTCTAAAGTAAGAGCTGTTTTCAAATTTCATTATTCTTTATTTTGAGCATGGTGGTTTATATTCTAGTAAACCCCTTTAAAAAAAAAAAAGACAAGAGGAGTCCCAGGCAGTACAAAGTTAAAAGAAAGACCTGGACAAAGACGATACAGTAAAGAGTGAATATAAAACTAACTTATTCTTCAATTTGTCTAAGGCCAGATCCCAAGGGGAAAATAAAAAAAATAACATCATTTCATAGTTTAATGTATTTTGGGGCATGTACAGAATGTCAGAACTTTTTAATATTATATCTTATTTGAGGCACACAGGATTCCGGGAGAATGGCAAGACAACATTAATACGATCCTTATTAATAGAATAAACTCCAGCCTCAAAGTAGTCCAGACCTATTCCAGGTCCTGTGGCTAGTAAGAGGCAGAAGCAGGATTGGAACCAGCTAACTGCATCCTATTCCAGAAAGATTAAATATGCCCGGGTCACTGGAGTCACGGGGTGTCCATCTTTAGCTCTTACCCTGAGTGTATGTGGCTTCGGTGCTGCCCACAGACAGATGCAGGCGAATGTGCCTGCTTTCAGCTGGTAGAACGTTAACAACTCCTTGGAGAACAATGGAGTGGGCCTCATCAACATACCCGCTGCTATAATAACGGATTCCAGGTGAAGTAAATTGGTAAGAAAATGAACCTGCCACAATATGAGAGTGTACATAATAAATACAAGCAATTGGTGCATCTTTGAAAAGAAATTTGTTCAAATGCACATGCAGATGACAAGGATTCTTATGTTTCATAAATTCAACAGAATGTAAGCGGTAAGGAAACGAGTCAGTGGCTCTAAAGAGCTATTGTGTATAATGAACTTACATTGAGGAAGACAAGATCCAGCTTTACCTTTCCTAGAAAACGATGTCAAGTCTGGCATAACTTACCAAAGTTTAAAGAACAATTCAACAAGAAATGAACAATAAACAAATAATACTTAGTTTGTGTTCATGAGTAAAAAAGTTTCTAACTGCTGCATGTATACAATAAAAAGCTGTCTAAAAGACACACTGCACGGAGTTGTCCTAGAATAAATACTGATGATAAGCTGATTCCAATAACAGAATTTCATTCCTTGCTAGCAGACTGGTATGCTTAAAAAATATTCCAATTTCCCTTCTATTTTGCTTGTTTCTATATATTTTCCCTTTGGTTTATTCCAGAATGAATAAAGTTATTTTTGGCATCAGAAACTCATCACCAATATATAAAATACCTTGCTTACATTCACTTACATCTTACGAATTTGTAAATTTTTGCTACAGCAAAAAAAAAAGGTCAACTAAATCACTTTGTATATTTGCATATATTATTTACACATGTATTTTAAATCTAAACAAAAAAATCTTTTTATTATATCTAGAAAAATAAAGCATGATACAAAACTCAACAAAGTGAAAACATACCTGATGCGGATTTTTCTCTTCCATTCATAAATCCTTTGCCATCATAAGTTACACTTCCAGGACTGGAGACAGAGAAAACTCTATATCCTATTCCCGTAAGAAATGGATGTGCTTGCCAATGCCATGTCACAGTGTCTCCCACAGATACATTTAAGACTGATGGTGACCAGGCATAACCTAACCCATGTACTGGGAGCAAAAAATGGGTCACATTTTATAAGGAAAAAAAGGAAAAGGAATAAAAAATTCTTATAATTATCTTTGAAAATATTGCATTTTTATATAGCTACTAGTGAAATCTTTTTACATAACATGGTAAAACTCATATGTGCATAATTCAAACATGTAACAGAAATAAACAGAAATAATGAAAATTAAAGACAGAAGCTAAGGAAAAAAAGTAACCTGCACAACAATAAAACTGGTGATCAAGACACAACTTGAAAATAATCAGAAAGTCAATAAACAAGTTGTTCAGAAATATCTCATGAAAGTTTTTAAAGCCGATTAATTTTTTAAACATATTTTTCTCAGGCACAGAGGCATACAAAAATCTATATAATTTCAATTTGAATGTTCATTAAGAAATCCACTGATTGATAACAAACTAGAGTAATTCAGGAGATTCTGTGATGCAGTAAAACCCAACAGCAATTACTGAACTTGGAAACTAAAATCTGGCCTTTTGGACTCAAGTCTACCATTGATTCACCATGTAGCCCTGTATGTCAACGGGGGTACCACTGACAAATTATAGAAAGAAATACAATAGTCACTCTCTAAAAACTTTAAAGTATAAAATAAATAAAAACCAATTTAATTTTAAGGTAAGTACTCCTATTATATACAATACATAAATGTTGGCTGATACCTGAATCTTCCCCATCATTGGTAATCCTGAATACATTCCCTGTTGAAGGAAGAGTACATTTTATGACATCCGATGTTGATGATGTCACACTGCAAGGGAAGGACCCTAGAAAGAATAAAGATGGGGTAAAAAATGTTCTCAAATATTTTTTGAACTATAGAAATAAAGTATAATTACTAAAAAGTCAAGGCCCTACAAAAACTCCATATTATATAGTAGGATTTTGGTATAGTTTTCTGATAGTAATCATGTTTGAGTCTTAATTATTTTTAGAACATAAAAATAATTATTTCATATACATTAAATACACAATCATTATTTATTGAAATCAAAAACGGTTATTCAGTTTCCCTTTACCACCTTCACCAAATATACTTAACCTTTTATACACTAATAGGAAGATAAAGCTTCCACGATTGAGCATATTAGTGTAATAACTCAGCACCTATAGCACATCCTTTAAGCTGGGAAAACATGAAACAACCCTGCGGTGAGGATGAAACTCTTACCTAAGAGCACGGTGTTCTCAGTGGGTATTGTGCTAAATCCCAAGCCCATTATAGTGATTTCAGTTCCCCCATATAAGGAACCTCTCTGTGGAAACATATTGTTCACTTCCAAAATATACTGTATAGAAGCATTTAACTTGTCTCTGCAAAAGAAAAATCAATAGATGTTTCAATGAGCGTCCCATGGGGTCAAGCTGTTAAACTTTTCCTAGCACAGGATTCATTTAAGAAGAGAACGTAATCTGATAATTATCATGAACCTCAATTTGGTTAGATAGCATGCAGATAATTGTTTCTTCCTCCAAGCTTCATGTGAGTTGAGTTCCAAAGTTATACCCTTAATTTGAAAAAGGAGACATAGAAAGGTGAAAAAAGCTGCTAAGTATTATAAGGTTAATGTCTGCTTCTTTTCCCATCCTGGCACTATCTGCCCCATCTGTTCCACAACGCCATGCCATCCAGTTTATGTTCATTGCCGTACCTCGTGGAAGCAAACCCCCAGTTTCTGACTTCTACATGGATATCATGTTTCCCAGGAGACAACGTGGGCAAAAGGCATCTGATTTCAGTGAGGTTCCAGTGAAGAATCTGGCAGGGCTTTCCTCCCACATACACCTCCACGCTTTGTGTGAGGTCAGTTCCAAAGTTATAACCCTTAATTGTTAAATTTCTTTCTCCTGTTATTTAAAATAAAAAGGTTTTACAAAAAGGTTCAACTTATTATGCAGTATGCAGTTTGCATATGAAGTAAACCAACTCATCTCTTTCACTGGATTTGGGAAATCCCAACACTTTCGGAGGCAAAAGCGAAATCAAAAGAGCTGAGAGCTGTCGTATGGAGATAAAATCCACATTTAAGTTTCACGGGGGAAAAAATGACAAAGCACTTTAAAAAAAACAGTATTTTTCTCCTATTGTGCATGTTCAAAGTGAAATAATAAAAAGACTAGTCTATAGTTTGTTTGTTTTAAAAAAAACACCTCATGTCTGTTTTGCTTTAAGACACAGAACTTTGAAGAGAGACTGTTTCAAAAGTCTTTCTAGAAATGGTTTATATATGTCAAATAACTGATCTTATTGAAGAACTAAAGGCCTGATGCAAGAAATTCATGCAAGGGGCTTGGCCCCCCACCGCGGCGGCAGTGGCTATTCAGCCCCTGCCACTGTGGCTTCTTCCAGAAGGTACTGTTTTGCTTTAAGACACAGAACTTTGAAGAGAAACTGTTTCAAAAGTCTCTCTAGAAATGGTTTATATATGTCCAATAACTGATCTTATTGAAGAACTAGAGGCCTGATGCAAAAAATTCATGCAAGGGGCTTGGCCCCCCGCCACAGCGGCAGTGGCTACCTCAGCCCCTGCCACTGCAGC